CCGGGTGCGACGGTTCTATCGATCTCCTTTGCAACTGAGATTTTTTCTTCGGTCGACCTGCACAGAAAAGAACGATGAACACAATGATTGAAAATTTATGTAAAAACGAGAATCACGAAGGGGCTCATCATAGGGTTTTTAAAACTTTGGCCGCAAACAGCTCCGCCGAGTTTCGCCTGCAAATTTTCAGCTCTCCCGCCGTCCCTTTTGCTCTGATTTGGCCGTGAAGGTGGTCAGAATCAAATTCCAAGCAAGTAAGGAAAATTTTTTACCTCTTTTAGCAGTTGGCGGGTGGCTTCCGATGCTGCGATAGTCGATAGTCAACCTTCTGTCTCTGGGCATTTGATTTTCTTCTCTAGTGGGGGCTAATAGCTAAGGTTTGGGTTCTCGTGTAATGCGAGTTATTTATACCCATCTCGCTTTCATCTATACTGTCCATCACGATTTGATCTCGACCGTTCAATCGCGTATGAGGAAATGAATCTGGGCCATCCATCATGATTGATCTCGACCGTCCGATTATGTTTAAAGGGAGAATAAATTCAGACCATCTATGTGTGCAGGATCGATCCTGGATCGTTCGTTTGCGGGGCACATTGATTGCCCGCGTGGTACCGACGTCAATGTGACTCGCCACGCGGTGCACTCTAGTTCGTCAGGGTTGTTGACTGGGTGATCCTACGTAGTATAATTTTTTCTATTTTTATTCTGACTCCCAGTTTCTAATTTTTCTTTCAAAAACACCCGCTGAAACTAAATTTTTACCCATTTTTTTCAAAATTGTTTTTGATTTCATCCATAACCTATTTTTTCCATAAATTCAACAAAAATTAAAACAAATTAACTTAAAAATAAATTTTTATATATTTTAGAAATGTTAAAATTGATCCCGACCTAAATTTTGAGTTCGGGTATTACATGAACCACCTCCATTATATGCCTATTATTCCTCTCCGCCAAGTCATTCTGTTGCAGAGTATATGTGCAAGAGGTATGATGCGAAATACCTCTTTGGCTTAGAAAAGTTTCAAACTTTGCATCAATAAACTCTTTTACATTGTCAGATTGCCAAACACAAATCTTGCATTGATATTGAGTTCCCACCAAACTATGAAATGTTTGAAAGGCTAAAAACATCATTTTTTTCTCTAAAGCAAGGACAACAAAGTCATCCTAATACATTTGTCAATGAATATAATAAAATATAAAGCTTTAAATAGAGAAGGAATCTTTGCAGAGCCCCAAATATCAGAGTGTATGACAACAAAAAGTTCAGAATATTTATTCATACTAGATAAGTAAGGAATACGATGACTTTTAACTAGTTCACAAATATTACAATGAAAATCAGAAACATCCAAGTTAAAAAACAAATGTTATTGTAATTTTTAAATATATCTAAAAAAAGATGTCTCAATCTTCTATGTCATAACTATATAATTGTTGAGTTTTCTCTTCACCACTAGTTTGACATCTGTGACTAACTTTTTATTCCTAATTTTTTGTCAATTCTAAGTAGCAGAGTTTGCTTCGTTTAACATTATACTAAGAACCATTCGGATCAGAATATCCTGAAATACACAAATAAAAGGCCAAAAAGTTATTGTGCAATCAAGGAATAAAGTAATTTGGTTCATTGATAAAATATTTTATTCAAGATATGAGACAATAAGAATTGTATCTAAAGTGAGTAGATTGGACAAAATGGCAGATCCTTCTTCAGTAATAGGAGCTGTACTCCCATTAGATGTTGATATAACGGACTGAGAAGATGAGCGAATGAATTGTAACTGTTAGGGTCTCTAGTCATATGATCATATGCACCTGTATCAATAATCCAAGTTTGGATTCTTAAAAGTTACAGAAGAATATTTGTCTAATAAATAATACCTGGGTGAGCAACATTTGTTATAGGCTACAAATTATCCTCCGTATTAGATTCAACTTTCTCAAACGATGTCATCATAGCTTTCCCTACAATCTTTTTCTGTAGTTTTTTTTTTTATATAGAAATCTCACCATTCAAGATAGTCAATGACTTCATAACATCGTTGTTTAGGATGACATGTTTCACCATAATGGTTGCATACAAAATTGCTGGACTTTCTAGCATATTAATTATTTTGAGGTTTTACTGATATCGAGGATGATCTATATAGTTTTTAGTTGGCAAGCGTGGTTGATCTTTCTGAGATCACTCGAAAACCTCTCATTATTTATTGTTGTTGGTATTCTTTCTTTATATATGCATATGCATTCTCTAAATCCAGTTATGGATCTTCTTTACAAGATTTCTCCATGACCCTAATCAAACTTAGAATCGAGTCTACTTAAAAAAATATAAACTCAAAATATAGCCATTGTAAAATACAACTAGACAACTCTTTCAACTCTCTCTTCTTAAGAGCAGTCCTATGATCAATTTTCTAAAAATAGTAACAAGTTCATTATAGTAAGTAGACATGTCTATCACAAAAAGTCTTTTGGTTAATTCAAATAGATGGGTTTCATATGATCCATCGTAAAAGTTCTTGATACAGTTTCTCATATTTTTTTAGTTGTGTAAAGGCCAATAAATTGTTGCATAAGTGATGGATTCATTGAGTCAATAAGTCAACTCTTTAATTTTTAATTTTCGGTGACCCATGTTTTGTAATTGGGGTCTTCGGGTGCAAGCTTTTTAATTCTCTAGTAAGATAATCAACTTTATTTCGAGCACCAATTCGCATCCCTATGAGCTAAGACCATAATGAGTAGTTCCTTTCATTTAATATGGTACTGATAGGAAACATAGAGTTATCTTGGTGGATGACAATAATGGTGTTTGGTTTTTGGATATGACGAGAGTTAGTTCATCCATTTGATTTTACGGAGAGGAATACAAAATTTGATTCAAGAGTTGGTCATTTAGGAAGAATGCTCTGATACCACATAAAATGATAGAATTTATAAATAATTCAGGGATAATTATTCTTTTCTATTCAAAGACAATATAAAAGTACAATTACATCATAGAAAAGGAAACCAAAACTACTGTACAAAAAGCTAATCAAATTTTTATAATTGTGATACCAATCTGGTAATTTACAACATTAATCTAACAATTAATCTAATAATTTACAACCCTAATTTAGTAATTTATAACTTATGCCAACAATGACCAAAATAATTCACCAATTGACAATATAACAAGATTTTGAGTTACTTCAACAACAACAACTATATATGTCGGTATTTCCTAGCAAACTCAACAAAGCTTCTTTATTATTTTTATTTATTTATTTCTTAAACGGTGCTAGTTTTGTTTTTCACATTAGTTTTGATACGAACAATTAAAATTTTTTCATGTTGGGTTTGAATTATATGAGATTTACAAGAAAGCTTCGGTCAAAAGAGAATTATTGAAAAATGAACGAAATTAATCTCTTATTTTGTATTGTATTAGTAAACTTTTCATTTTATATATTCAACATAACACATTAAAAATTATTTTATATAATAGATCTTAACTAAGTCTTCGTCATCTAATCAATTCGAGAGAAATTAATAACCCTAAAATAAAATTCATTCGAAAATTTCTCAATTTTCACATACATAATATAAACAAATATACATATATATGTGTATACACATATGCAAGTTTTAAAGGAACAAATTAATTTACATACAATACAATATATATATATATAGTAAAGTCAATTTCATCAACATACCAACTTCAAGAGAGTTGTTTTTTTTTTTTTTTTTTTACTTATTCACAAGTAGTAAAAGTGAATATGAGCATTGTAAACACTTTTTTCCATATTAAGTTCCTTATTATAATTTTTGTACTATTTCAATTTAATCATAATTATTTTTAACTGTTAAAAGGTACATGCATGAACCTTCATTATTGCACCTACATTATTAGATAGATAAAATAGGTACACATATATGTATATGTGGGTACACATATATGTATATGTGGGCACACATATGCAAGAGAACATTGCAGTTTTTCTTCTCAAAAAAATTAATTTACATACAATACACAATATATATATATATATATGTATAATAAAATCAAGTGCCTAAACATATTTTTACAAAGTCTCCTGAATTTCATCCAACGTACCAACTTGCATGAACCATCTTGCATATTTAGGGTCCTTAATGCGATTTTTTGTACATGTTCAATTTA